AGGCCTTTGCTGGCTTAAAAGGCATTTTGTTTAGACTTACGTGGGGAAGACGAACTGTCTTCCAGTCATTTCCTCTGCTTAAGTCTGGTATCTGTGTCAACAAAACTCAAACATGCTTTGATATTTTTTCACTTACTTAATAAAATACACACCAAGAATGCCTGACTGCAACAGAACACAAAGATCTGGATCCTGCCATCCACTACTTAAGTTTGTAGTATAACTATGACTGATGTGGTGAGTTTATTGCCCTCATTCCAGGCAGCTGATCCCAAACCCAAGACTTTTACAACACTAGTCAGAATCAATAATGACTTTATTTAGGCCTTTCTACTCCTGCTCTGACATTCACCACTAGCATTAAGAACCAAGCTTACTCCAAGTAATAAAAAGCAAATGCATATAGACATTCGTGTTTGCTATTTCAATCCAGGAGGGACCAACAATGCAAGTTTAAAAAGGAAAAGTATTTTCTGTTGGAATTGTGAAAAGTGAGCTAAAGCCATAATGGAAAGCAGCTCTCCCCAGGCAAAATGGAATATGAGGAGAAAAAGCTAAAGACTTGGATGTTACAATTAAGGGATAAACAGCTGGCATTTTAAGGAATGTGGCTTATAAACCAAGATGCTGAGTAATAAAATGGCAGATGAAGTTCAGTGGACATGGGTAATAAGTGATTCACAAGGGAAAAAACATCTAACTCAACATACACAGAAACAGATTCCTCTAGATCTCACCTGAGATGCACCTCTCACTTCATATGCACCTCATATTAGCTGAGTGCTCCCTCCCTGTCCTCTCACCCCTGCCAGTCACCCGGAGCCAAGCCAATGGGAGCTGAGCCCTTCTCCTCGTGCAGGTCTGCAGTGCAGTCCATGAGGCTGTTGCTCCGCAAAATGGCTGGTGAGAATGTAGTGGTGGCCATCGAGAAGCAGGGAGGCTGGGACGCAGCTATCTAAGGAAATAAAGTGTTAGGCATTATGCAGACAGGACTAAAGAACACCACCAGAAGATCCCATGACACCACCTGAATCCCGAACACCAGATGCAGTTCTGGTTCCCACATCTCAAAGGGAATCTAAAGATCCAAAGCACAGGAGATCACAGAACAGCCCTAGAATGGTGAAGGTTGGAAGGGACCATAAAGATCATCAGGTTTCACCCTCCCTTCTATGAGCAGGGACACCTCCCACCAGACCAGGCTGCACAAGCCTCATCCAACCTGGCCTTAAACACCTCCAGGGAGGGGGCAGCCACAACCTTCCTGGGCAACCTATTCCAGTGCTTTCCTACCCTCATGGAAGTGCACTTCAGGAACTCACTTCCTGATCACTGCCACCTCACACATTGTGATTCTCATCTCAGAGTCTTCTTGGGCCTCATGAGCTGGATTTTCTGAGTCAATCTAAACAAGCAGGCAGCCACTGCCACACCTAATGCTGTCTAGCACTAAGTCCACAGGACTAGGCTAAAATCAGCTGATGCAGACTTCTGTGAAATGCAGATAAGCACAGGCATAGAGTCCTAAACCAGTCCATAAATCCCACCCTGATCCACTATGTGTTTGATAATAACTGCACAGCCAAAGCTGAGAGGAGGTGTTGAATATCTCCCAAGCACCTAATCAAACTGGGACACCTTATTCTGGAGGACGTAAGACCAAAATCTCCTACATAATATGGCTTGACATAAGTGGCACAGAAGAGAATGAACAAGGAGTAACTGCTCAGGTTCTTTTCCTAAATGACATGGAGGAAGCATCCAACAGGACAGGCAGAGGGTCGTTCTGCTTCAAAACAAAAAATGTTTCTTCACACAGAGCCTCTTTAAAGCAGGAGAATTCCTTGCTAACAAGGATTATGGATGCTGTAAGTTAATATGGGGTAAGAGAGAAACCATACAGATTCACTGGGGGAAAGTCATCAAGAGCAATTCAATGCAGTCAGCAATGCCAGCTCTGGCAGCACCCAAGCTGCAGACCACTAGCACTTGGGGTATACTTTGGGTAAGTAAAACTACACATCTTCCTTGTTACTGCCCTCTTTCTTGTAGGGTCCATCACTGACCACTATCAAGACAAGATATTGGCCTTGATGTAAAAAACTTATTTTGATCAAGTTGGATGACACCTGAAATGGCAAACTAGGTGTCCTAGATGGAAAAGGAGATAAAACGCACACCAGTTTAGGAAAGTAGATACAAACTTTCATAATAAACTACTGAATATGCAACTCTTACCCTTCTTCTAGCAGTATAATCACAGGCCTCATTACCTTGTTAGCAGATGCAGCAGGGGTCAAGAGATGCTATAATTCACTTTATTACTGAATACTCTTAATCAGATAGAAACTTCTGCCACACATCGTATAACACAGCCTGCAACATCTGCAGACTTACAGACTCTCAGGGACACGCACAGAGGGACTATTAAACTATGGGTCCAAACCACTAAACTTTGTGTTATAAACTAACTAGGAAACAGCCTTCTTACCGCCAGAGGTCTGAAAGAAAACCCAAAAGCTAGAGGAATTCACTAAAACAGAAGGCATTTAAAACCAGAAGAGAAATCTGCCTCAAGACATTCCCCTGCTTCAGCTTTTCCAGTGCATTATTCCTCCTCCAACCTCCTCTCTCAATTTTTACACTTGGTCAATAAATACCTCTTACTCTAGCACTGAGATAAGATTTATGATGCACTGCAAGTGCTGTGCAATTAACAGATTTAATGTCTGATTCATCTCCTCCTTCAAAGGGGCACTGGAGAAAAGCACAACAGGAGATGGCTGGGTACTGAGTTGTGGGTACATCATACGTACAGGTGATATGACATTTCCTCTACCACTGCTCTAAGTCAGCACATCCCCACTCTTCCTGTGGATGTATCAATCCGTTTTCACCATTTAGGAGTCCTAACTATTATTCACTCTTCAGTTTGATCATTGAGAGATTTTTCTCTACCCTCAGTATGGATTTTTTACACACCATCCCACGTTTTCACCATAATTTATCAATTGCTTTTTCCACTCCATTTCACTGAATTTCTAATCTCATTTCCCCAACTACACTGTCTACAATCATAACATAGCACTGACTTAAAAAAATTCAGCATGCTCCACTAATTTCACAATGTGTTAAAAGAGATATCAGAGGGAATACATTCTTTCCCTCTCAGCATGATTACTTTAACTTGCATATCAGAGACAACAACACAGAGCTGGGGAGAAGGATAGGCATGTCTGCAAAAGAAAGCCAGAGCTCTGCCATCTCACACAGGTATTGACCAACTTTCAACAAGACCAATGTCACCAACTCTTATATGCAAGACTGAGCATTTACCTCTTCCCCATTTTTCATTAGCATTTGGTGGATGGTTTATTTTGAACTATGCTGACAGGGCTTCATCCAACTCAGCAGCACATTTGTTGGAGGGATTATTACAGATGCATCATGCACTAATAGAACACCCTGCTCTGAAAGGCATTTTAAATGGCACAACTTAGTGGCTTGCTTGCAGTCCTAACTTCTATATAATGTCAATACTGAGCACAAGCTACTTTCACAAGCAATTAAGACAGACTACATGAAGTACCTACCTCAGCCTGCAGGCTATGTAAGACTTGCCTTTCAGGTTTGTTCAATTATTTTGTCCTTGTCTTTAGTAAAATGAAATCCCTGTTTTACTTTCTCCCCACCACACACTGCATCTGTTTTCCAGATTATACCCTATCCACACATGGCAGCCTTTGGACCAGTTTTACTCTATACTGACATAGTTTTCACCCACAGGTTTGAAGGTAAGGTATATAGCAATGCTCCTAAATAAATCCTACTGTCTAAAAAAAGAAAGTCTCTCTGTACTAAGTTTTACTTCAAACATGCTCAAAAGCATAAACAACTCTTCACCTCACCCTATGGAGATCTCTCCAGTCCTTTTTCCTTGCCAAAGTGCTACAAGCCATGCAGTCTGCTTTAGCTGTTGCTATTTCTGCAACTTTATTTCTGAAATCAACTTTAACTATATTTAAGCTTAAAGACTAGACATAGACTAAATCCCATGGTATCCCAACCTCATCTCTCAAGACAGCAGGAGTTGTTCAGATTAAAAACCACTGGGATAAGGACAAAGAGGCAACCCAGGGGAGAAATATCCAATATTACAAACGATGCCCTCAAAGAAGCTCATCCACATGACACGACACTTATTCCAACTATAGGAACAGTCTCAGGCTTCAAATCCTGTAGGTACATCAAATGCCCACACACTGGTACAAAAAAAATACTCAGGAGTCCAAACTGTTCTCAGGATTTCTTACTAAATATTTAACTTTGTGCATCACCTCTTCTCAAAGTAAGTAGATTGATTCTGAGAATCTGTGCCTCTAAAAAGATGACAGTTAAACTTTCCTAGGTTCAACAGCAGTGAACTTTATCTGTAAGCCAAGTATCTCACCTTATGCAAACTGAAGCTGAAAACCAGACTAATTCTATTGAATTCCTACACAAACCAATATTAACAGTCATAAAGTAAAAACAGTGCCAAAGGGTTAAAATTTATTATGATAATCACAGAATTACAGAATGTTGGGGGTTGGAAGGGACCTCTGGAGATCAAGTCCAACCATCCTGCCAGAGCAGGACCAAAACTAGGGAAGATCACTCAGAAATGCATCCAGACAGGTCTTGAAAGTCTCCAGAGAAGAAGACTCCACAACCTCTCTGGGCAGCCTGTTCCAGTGTTCTGTAACCCAATATGATAACCACTAATACTTGCTTAGAAGACTACAGATCAATTTTAAGGTAAGTATCATTAATGATTTATAAATCTGTTTCATCCTGTTTCCAGACAAACCTTTCAGGACTGCTAGTTACTCTTCATATTCTGTTTGGGAACAGAACAAGCCAGCTTCAAGACACACAGCTTCAACTCCACATTTTAGATCATGACATGGAGTTAAAAACCACCCAAACTAAGCAAACAAAACAGAGGATACTCACATTGCCCATGTATTCTGAAAGAAGATCCTGCAAGGCCTGTCTCACTGCATTACACTCAGCAACAATCCGCTCCCGTCGGTCATCACGTGTGCAGGATGAATCAGCCATCAGGGCTGCTCCACTAATGATGCTCTCCAGGCGTTCTTCCAGAGAAGGCCTAAAACGTTCTTCACTGAAGGTTGATGGATCCACAATAATTTGTTTCTAGTCAAATAAAGGTTTTAGAAATCAGTAAGCAGACCAAGCAGCAAGATCCCATTAAGTCATTGAGACAACTAATGTTTACAGAAAACCCCAGGTTGGGCAGAAAAGGCAAACACCACACCATTTTGGCACTGAGGATCATTTTTATAAGTAGTTTTGTAAAACTACTAAAAGGTTCCCCAGCAGACTACATTGCTAGTCATTTCTTGTGCTGCTTTAACAGTTCAACAAAACTTGGCCACAGGAAGCCTAGTTACATGAATGGCAAAAATCAAACGTGCCAGCACAAATAAGGTTCAAAGTACAGAACTCTTCTTAACTACATGTCAATCCAGACATGCCTTCACTAGTTAACTTGTCAGATACAATTATCCCATCATGAACAAAAACCCAAGGAAAACAAACATCCAAAATTAGTCCTATATATAGGGCTCTGTTGTCCTAATTTATCCGCTCTTTCTTCTCTTCACCCTTATGCAGGTAAATACAGATTCTCAAAGTGAAACACTAACATAAATGTTTCAAAGAGCACAGAAACCAATTTCTTCATGGCAGAAAACTATCACAGGCTTATCTTGACAGAGCATTAAGCACAGCTCACAGGGAGAGGCTGCAGGCTGAAACTGCAGTACTCATGTACCTTTTGTAGCACCAAGGGGCCAATACCACCACCCACAGAAGTTCACCAGGAAGCAGCAGTGTAGTATTTATTACCCACCTTGTGAGTACTTTCAGGTGGTTTATTTAAACAGGTTTGCAATTCATTAAGGAAAACTTATTTGGCCATTTCAAGGTTTGGTGGTTTGCTTACGATTTGGGTGGGGACAGGAGGGGAGGATGTTACTAATATAAAAAGAAGGCCCCAAGGTTTTTTAAATGGGACTTTTTGCAGTTTGAATGCCAGCTAACACTGCAACCACTGCCTCTCCCCCCAACCAGCACGTTTCATCCGCCTACAGAGTCATCATGCAAGTCTTTGCAGCAGGATTAGAACATGGCTTTCCAACATGCTCCTTATTTTTCCTTTTAGCTGTGCAGAGAATACAATGGCAGCATGCTACAACTCCAGAACTGCACCAAAGCCAGCAATAATCATAATCTTGTTATCTCCTTGTAGCCATTTAATATTTTACCATCACGGTGAAAACACTGAGTATTTGGGAGCATATGTGTGCAAAGCCTCTATAACAAAAGCACAATAACATTCAAGCATTAGCAGGAAATGAAGTACAAGGATAAGATCTGCAGAGAACCTGAACACATTTGTTTTGTCAGTCTCCCTTGGCAGGATGGAGACAACAAAGCTATCGCACACAGCACGCTCTGAAGCTGGGCTGCTGAATGAGCCCTGCTGCTGCTAGAGAGCCTCACAAAGCAGAACTAAAAGCTCAAAAGCTCCATGTGAACTGCAGCATTCAAAATCTCCAGACATATATTAGAGTTCTTACAGTAAAATATGGCCATATATCAGAAATCACATTAAATGGTTTCAGCTAGATTAGCCAACCCATGAACCTGAACTGCTGCTTCACTTCTACGTACCCCAGTCAGTCTTTACCATGGGTGTGCTGTTCCAGGGCCTGCCTGATCCTCCCACACACACCTGCTCACACCTTGGGTGCTACCCTGAGGCACATTCTTAAGACTTGGGTAGCTAAACATACAACTGATGGCATTTAAGAAAAGCAGACTTCAAATGGAAATCATAGTCACAAAGATCAAGACAACCATGACATCAGAGAAGGGCCTCACACTGGGCACAGGGAGAACTCAAGTAAAAGAACCTGGCACAGAAGGGAATGCAGGGAAGGAGCAAGAGTGGTAAGAAAAGGTTAGCAATATCTAGCAAAAACAAAAGTATTAAACACCTTTGAGTGATGGTTTTGCAATATTAAACAGAGTTTTAGAGCTAAGTTACTGCCAAGGTGCTTAAAATTCAGAGGCTGAATCAGTGGTAGACACAAAACACTGACTTCAAAAAGGAAGTGTTCTCAGTAAAAATGCATGGCTATCCTCAACAACTCCCTGAATGTGAGATAAGGAATATGACAGATCACTACAACAAACCAATGTGAAATGACTTCATTACCAACTAAAGATCATATTAAACTTCCCACTCTGTGTTCCTCTCAATAGGTAGTTTGGGCAACTCCAAATACCTTATTCACTTTTAATAAGTAATTTCTGTCACCTACAAGAATACATGACATAAATATGTTATGAAATAATGAATTTAAAATAAATCAAGGGCTTACCTCTAATATAGCAGTAAGCTAACTGCTATTTCAGTTCTATATTCTATCAGCCCTAGTTTGGATAAAGACCTTTTTTAAAAATAAAAGCTTACTTCACCTGGGAATTGCTGTATTTCAGTAGAAAATAATCTTTCAGACAATATAAATAAAAGCAAGCTGTTGCCAGTAAATAAGGGGAATGAAGAGTTGAAGTTACCACTTTTGTTTACAGAAAGGGCTCAAAACTTACATCAAAGTTGTTCAGAGCATAAGCCAGCTCTCCACCTCCCCCCTGCTGCTGGGCAGCATCATCTGATGCAGTTGCTTGAGCTGCATTTGATATGCCTGTGACTGCCTGCTGAAGCTGCTTGTAGATCAAGTCCCTGTTGGCTTTGTAAGCAGCTACATCAGGGTGCTGCAGACAGGCCTGGGACGCCGTGTAAAGAATGGGAACGTTCTTCTGCAGAATTCCTCTGGCTGCTGCCATTTGGTCACGGTGACCCACATCTTTCAGTTCCTATTAGGAAAATTAAAAGAAAAAGCACATTTGAGAATATTCCCCACATTTAAGATCCATACCTAGCCTTCCTGCATCTCCAGAAGATGGGCAGGTTCTTTCCTCAGAACACTCAAATCTAACTACCTTCTGATTGAGTATCCCTATTCTTAAGGGCTCAACTAGTTTCAAAACACAACAGCTTCATAAAGACAAAAAAAAAAAAAAAAAAAGTACTGTAGGGCTGCTGATTCACATCTTCACAACTCAAAATCTAAGGCTACATTTTTGCTCCTCTCCACAGCAGAGGACCAGCATTTTGAAAACTGGCAACACCTATAAATCAGGAGCACACAGAAGTAGTGAGCACGCATTTTTCTCCCCACTCCTTCCAGTTTGCATTAAATCTACAGAACCACAAAGAAACCTACACTCTCACAACAGAATACCTTACATTTTTAGGTAACTTAAGAACCAAGCTAATTTTTAACTATCAAATGAACAACAGGCTTCCTCTGCAATCTTGTCTTGCACTTGCACATGAGACATGAGATCTTTAATTTGAACCCTACCACTGACAACCAGAATGTTTTCTTTAATCACACCTAGAAGATGGTTGTTTACCCTCCTCGAGAGACTTGGGTACTTAATTTTTGAAGCACAAGTATATCATCTCATTGAACTTCTTGTTCATCTCCAATGAGACAAAATTAATTTAAGGAGTGTAATTACCACTCATTTAAGATTAGCAAGCAAGTCCGTAGGTCTTTTCCTGAACACTCACTGCTGCAATTCTCTAAAGCACCATCACCTCTGGCTTGGAATAGAAGCACTATGATTAGCTTCTGAGTCCAGCATGAGCAGTAAGCTTATAAAAGAACAAACACAGTTATTAGCCATGTTGTCATTTTAAACTTATCTCTTAAACCTAACAAAGAGGTGATGGAAATGAAGAAGAGCACTGCCTTACTGAGAAAGGGAAAAAAACATCTGAGAAAAAAACATCCAAATGAATGGGTAATAGGTAACCTCTGTAAGACCCGCAGCAAGCAGGGAGGGCACTCCAAGCAGGCTTTCAGATTTACAGATTTAGTACAACCACTTTCCATAGTGTGGAACAATCCATCACAAAGCAGTTAAAGAACATTTATTGCATTGCCATCACAACCCTACTCCCATTTACTGCAATCAGATTTTAGATACATAGCCAATGGGCAATTCACTTCAGAATGTACCTGGTTTATTTTCAAAGATTAATCTGTGCAAACAACACAAGCTGTGTCAGAGGTGCATAAGCAGTTTTGGTTTGTACCTATCAGCAGAACAAATAAAAAATGCTCTACAAGAATTACACTGTTTCTGAGAAATGGGACTGCCTACACCTCTGCTTCCTCTGGATAATTTACCTACACAAAAATGAGTCACAACCACGCTGCTGAACAAATTTTACACATAATTTAAGGTTAAGCACAAGCTATCCAAGTACAAAACATACACATAACCAGGATATAAAACCCCTTCTCAAATGGGGATTTCAGTGCAAGACTAACCACCATTGCCCCTCCGTTTCTTGGAAAGAGCTGTAGTTCTGTGCCCAGTCATGACTTTGGTTCCTTGTTTAAATGGCCACGTTCAGCCCATCTGTGCAAACCACAAAGGCAGTGTGGTCTAGTGGTGAGCACACCAGGCACACCTCAGTTCTCTTTCCTTACCCACACCTGCACTGCTTCAAACTGGGAAGTGCAAGTCTTGGGAAGCAGGATTTCACTGAGGTACAAAAGCATTAACATAAAGAAATTCTGCCAGGAGCAGTACACTTCAGCCAAGCAGACTTTCTGCCTATCAAGGAAGCTCAAATTTCCTCAACACAGTGGGAGTGCAACATAAAGTATTCAGCAGAAAAAAAAATGAAAAAAAAAATTAAAAAGGACAGTACCCACTGCTGCCAACACAAGAGCAGCAAGGCTACCTTATTTTCTTAATTTGAAAAAAGGAAAATAAGAAATAATACACAGAAAAAAGAGCTGCCATCTCTCTACCTGTTGTCTTTTGGCTGCCATTATGTTCAGCTTGTCCACTTCTGGTTTGAGGGCTTTGTACTGGATGCCCAAATCCTGCTCCGTGCCAGCATTTCTTAGTTTCAAGATACCTTCTTCCACCTGAAATCACATATATTCACTTTTTTTTTTTCCAAGTACTGCAGTCCACAGTCCAGAAAGTAATTCAGAATGTACCTCACATCAGAGAGAGAAAGCAATCTTCCTCTGCCCCCTTTTATTTCTTGGGGAGAGAGACTTCAAAGGCTGATAGCACTCAAGGCTTAGGTACTAATTCATAGTCACCAGATACCACATACAGTGAAGTCCACATTTGAAAGACTACGAAGGAATGCAGGGCCCTGGTAGAACTGCAGCAGTGGCCACTGAAGGGCAAAAGGGGAGTCTCAAAGCCCTTCTGCCAAAATAGACCCATTATAAAACCTCATCTCCTTTCCAATTCTGCACAAACCACCCACCTTCTTGCTTGTCAGAAGAGAAAGCTTCCTCAAATATTTCACATTTGTTTTACTTAGACTACTGAAACTACTCACAGCTAGTAGCTGCAAGGCAGTGGTGGTTCTAAGAACGCAAATTATTTAAGATTAAAACAGCTGGTTATCACCTGCGGTTGCAAACAATAGTGTGTTTAAGTTTCAAAACTAATAGTTCAGAATTAAGTGCAGCACAACGTCCAAAGCTACTGACAATGAGCATAAAAACAAGAGACAAACATCCGTTGCACAAGTTTTGCTCAAAGGAAAAACCCCAAAAGCCTCCCTGCTGCAGAAGGGAGCCACTGACAGCGTGCACACTGGGCTCAGCACACATGCATGAAAAAAAACAAACACTTGACAGAGCACAACTGGTGTGCCAGACACGGCAAAGTGTATCACAGCAAAGAGCTGTACTTACTACTTTGAGCTGAACAAGCAGCTTGTAGACATCTGCCATGTCAGCCAGGATTAGCAGGCGAGTAACGGCAGAGAGGAGGGCGCGCGCCGCTCGGACCATGTTCCCTCGTTTCACAGAGGAGCAGGGGTCATCTGCAAACTCCCCCGAAGCGCTTTTCATCAGGTCACCTGCACAGGGAGAGATGCTCTGGCTTTAACATTGCACAGCACTTCCTCGGAGGCCATAAGGATTCCTAGGCAAGCCACTCTAAGTCTTGAAAGTAAAAGGCGATTGCTTAAATATGGCCAGCAAATAATACTGCGTGTAGCTACCTCTAGGTATGGTTACCACATGGTATCAGAGTAGAGGGGCTTGTGCTGGGAAGAAGGGCAGGAAAATAACATTTTGGTCCTTATTTCCAACTGTACAGATGTTTTAACATGCAAAAATCCTCTGGAGAGGCTAACTCAGCTTCCATTGCTATTATACGTGGGACTTGCAGTTATTTTACAAACTACAGTGTCCAGTTCTGGAGTCACCAAGAGAAGTAGGACATGGAGCTCCCGAAAAGAGAGTCCAGAGGAGGCCACAAAGATGATCTGAGGGCTGGAGCAGCTCTGCTCTGGAGCCAGGGAGAGTTGGGGTGTTCAGCCTGGAGAAGAGAAGGCTCCAGGGAGAACTTATAGCACCTTCCAGTGCCTGAAGGGGCTCCAGGAAAGCTGCGGAAGGACTTGGGACAAGGGCAGGGAGGGAGAAGACAAGGGGAAAGGGATTAAAACTGGAAGAGGGGAGATTTAGGTGAGACATGAGGAGGAAATTCTTTAGTATGAGGGTGGTGAGACACTGGAGCAGGTTCCCCAGGGAAGCTGTGGGTACCTCATCCCTGGAAGTGTTCAAAGGCAGGTTGGATTGGGCTCTGAGCAACGTGGTCTAGTGGGATGTGTCCCTGCCCATGCAGGGGGCTGGATCTAGATGATCTTTAGGGTCCCTTCCAACCCAAACCATTCTATGATCTATGACTGCAGTTACTTCACAAACTACAATACTTTCAAAGCTTAAGCAAAAGCTTTGCTTTGTGTGCATGGAGATGTTAAGCAGCAAGCAGCAGAAAGTACTGTAAACACACAAGGCACCACCACAGCTCCTGGGACTGTAAACAACTCGAAGCAATGACCTGGCTGGATATGCCCTGGTATGCATTCAAAGCAAGGAGCTGCTTAGTACAATGCTTCAATGTTTCATAGCCTGTGGGTCTGCATCTGGTGCAGGAGGAAAGAATTTGGGTTTCAGATGGTAACAATGCTATTGGTTAGCTATGAAAAGCAAAGGCCACATTACACAGCTAGAGAAATTCCTCCAGAAGGCATTCAGAAAGCATAAAACTAATGTCTGCACATAGCCAGAGAAGTATATTTTGGATTTCTCCCCCTGCTTTTTGGGGCAGCATTTTTATTCCAGTACCACAGCTCCTACACAGCAGTAAGTTTTGGAATCCACATTATTATTATTCTTGGATCTCTGCATTTCTGAAACATTTGGTGAACAGCTAGGATTTAGTTTAGAAAATGTGAGGTACTTAAGGCCAAAGACTTGCAGGCAGCTGGAGACAACCAGAAAGCATGAGAACTGTTATAACTAACTGCTGTGTCAGAGGCTTCCCAAAGCTGTATGAAAGTGTCCATATGGTCATATGCCAAAACAAAAATAGCACATCTCAGAGAAGAACCACCTCAAATAGTTCTTCACAAGTGAAAGCTGACATTGACTCCCAACAACCCACTACCAAACTGGGTGAGATATGCAATCTCAAGCTAAAGCAGTGGCACCATCCTGCCACCAGCTCCCACAGCTCAGCAATCAGTGCAGCACATTGCCAGCACAGGAAGTGCTTCTATTTTAACTACTTATTGCTTTTAAAATTACTCCACAATTCCTACCACTGGAGAGCCTGGGGTTAACCATCCACATATTGAACATTAAGCAATTAATACCTTGCCCTGAAGAGTTTCTAGCACCCCAGCACCCTACACCTTCAGAGCTAAAACCAACCCAAACAGCTGCCAGCCTGTCCAAGCACCTACATCAAGATACTCCATTTTGTTCACATGCTCCCCCCTGTGTAACACCCTTCCATCATCTTAAATAATATGACAAAGTGTGGCATGCAACATTTTAAGATAAAAAATATGCTACTTCAGTACCATGACATATGAAAAAAGCTTCTGTCCAAGTACAGACCAGCTCTAAATCTCAGTCTCAAGCTATCCCTTACCCAGCTCTGATGAACACTCATTATTTCATTAAGTGTTAAGAGCCTCAGATTTCCAGGAGGGTGAAATAGGATGCATTTCCAATGCTGAAAAACTGGAAGAGGCTAATAATAGTGAAATTAATGTCACCACCACAAGTATGAGATCTATTAACAATCTCAGCTGTAAAGATAGATGCCAGAACCAACTGTCACTAGGAATATTTCCTCTCTTCTTCACTTACATGTAGAATTCTCACTTTTCCAACTCCTGAAAGAAATAAATGTTGTTTTCATTTATTTCCTAGTAAAAACACCTTAGAGAGGTGGCCCCTCACTTAATCTGAACCTCAGAAATTGCTAACAAGGTTAAAAAAACCCCAGTTATTCCCTACCCATCTCTTAATTGCAGCCTTACAAGCCAGTACTGAAATAAAATGCTATTCCTTTTTATTTTAAAAAGAGCCTTTAAGAGATTTAGAGAGCTTCAAACAGCTTGTCAGTGTCAAATGATAACCAGCTTCCCAGAATTAAAGGAAGATTATAATTAGAGTTGTTGCATATATATGTATTTCTGCAAATTAAAGCTGGCTATCAGGCTTCTTTTACAAAGTAGCATGGGGTAGTTATTTCAGCCAGATTCCAAGGGTAAGAGAGAACCCTGCCCTGGTCTAAGAATGCAGTTCCTGCATTCTGTGTGCACATCAGCAGTTCAAATTCGATCCAGCATCATCTTCTCATTTTTTAAGTTGAACCAGATGTAACACAGCAAGTTCAAAAGCAGGATTTCAAGAGTTAAAAGAAATACACTGCAGAAGAGTAAGACTATGAGACTGGGATTATACAGCTGGTACAAAATCTTATATGAGTAATCTGCTTTTCCAATATAACCTTAGATTTTCACTAGATATTACAAGGGAAAGGTAATAAAACAAGAGTCAAGAAAAGAAAAGGCAATGGTAGCCATACCATGATCTTGTCAATAAAGCACTAAGAATTCAATTAAATATAATTGAACAAAGCCCATTTCAGAAATAGTCAGATTTTAGTCCATCAAAAGAAAATTACCATTTTCTAGTCTCATTCCCACCATGCCCACAGGGTCTGACAGCACTTCAGACAGCACTATTAATCCTCCTCAGCAGCACAGTACACGATGACCATGACAGAGGGTTTTATTTGTACAAATACTGAAGGAGTAAGAAAGCAGCAGAGAAGGCAGGCAAGGCAAGGCAGACCCAGGACACACACAGGCACTGGTGCTTTTTTTTCCTCAAGCTAGAATTCATGTCCACACATCACCTTGTACCCTTTAGCAACTTCCAGTTCAAAGCCCCTCTCCAGGCTGCTTTGCCAACAGTATCAGAAATACAGAGTGCCACCAGGCCATGACTCCACCTGCCCATATCACTCTGCTCACAGTTCCCTGGAGGTTGCCCATTCCCCACCAAACCAAGGCAAGCATGAAATCAACAGTTTCAGGACTCTGCCGTCTTACCACTAATGCTCCCTTCAATGCCCACCATGAGGGTCACAACAGGCTGCCCTTGCTTTCTACTACACAAGACAAGGCCTTGTATCTCCTCCTGCCATATCAACATGAGAGCTGATATTTTTGTTGCCGTAAGTTTTTATCAAATCCTTAATTGTGTCTTCAATTAAATCTGCACTGCCTACAACACTCCTAGAGTTTGCCAAAAGCAGTCTCAAAGCTCCCTCAGGTTATGGCTTTTCAAAGATCTTGAGTCCTTGGCTGGAAGATTACTTCTAATACAAGTGGTACACTCCTAAACCACTTTTACTGCAGGACAGAGAACTCTTTGCACCTTTCCAAGAAATTAAATGGTCACAACAAAGTTTTAAAGTTGAGTTTTCCAAGAATTCAGTGTTTAACTTCAAGTTACTCTACAACTAGCCTCCTCCCATTCCTTGGAAATTCTTAAGCTGTGCATCTTGTGTGAAGTACAGCTGAAAAAACATTTCATCCTTTCATACTTTGCCACACTGTTCAGTTTTGAGGAAAGCTTCACTCAAAAACACAGGGCAGAAAGACACCATGCTGAATCAGCAGGTTCACTCCCCTGCAACTGCAGCCATGAAACATGATCAAAGTCCACAGTATTCACCACAGTATTTCATCCATTCTCTTACCACAAGCCCTATGCACTTGCTTAAGCTTTTTAATTTTAAGCTTTATTTTTTGGTCTTTTATGTAAAGTTAACATAGCAAGAAACATAAGACTGAAAGCTTAGCTAATACCCTGGGGATCCTCACACTAGCATTAGATACCTCAAGGCAGTGAACTATGGTGAGCAGTTCTCTAGGAAATAGGAATAGACTGGTCAGCCCAAACCAAAAGAAATTTCCTTCTTGACCCCAGAATTTGCAACCTGTCTCAGTGCCAAGCACCTGGATTAGAAAGAGATTCAGTTCCAAAACACCTCCCAATAGCACTAGAAGACCTGACCATTTCAATGTAGTCTTCAAAGCTTCACAGGAAGGTAAAACCCTACAAAGAGCTTACAGCAGAAGGAATAAGACTGGGCAAGAGTAATATTGCCCCTTGTGTCACCCAGCAAAGCTTGAATGGCAGAAAGAACTGTAACAAACAACGTAAGTGTGGTGACATCTGAGAACTTCACATCAGATGTTTTCCCAATACTAAGTCTTCCCTATAACCACAGCAGGATCCATTCTGAACAACACTTTGGTTCTTTGTCTCCACTACTCTGTTCAAAATTTCTTTTGTAAGAAACTTCACTACTTTGAAAGAAGTCAGAAGTCGAAAGCTTTAAAGGACCAGGAATCTTACTTCAGGATATTTCATGAACTTGTTCAATATTTAAAGGAAGTTGTAATTTAATTCTTCCACTGCAAAAATCAGGACTTTGAAGATCCACTTACACTGATTTAGTATGTAGCCATATTATCATTCACTCTGAATAGCTCTTTCACTTCTTTGTTTTTACTCCCAAATTTTATGAACAGGCATGCTAACTAAAATCATGTACCCTCTTAGTCTTCTTGCTAGGCAATAAATAAATAAAATTAATTCTCTCTGATGAGACAAGTTATCTATTGTCCTAATCATCTTCATAACCTCTGTCTACTTTCATTCATCTGTTTTTATTATGATAACTAAACTGCTCCCTACTGTAAATAGAAGCATTATTAATTCTATTTTCCTGTCTTCTGCTGAAGATAAATTGTGTTATACATCTATAATCTCCTGCTGTCAGACAGATGCTGCCAGTTCACAATCACCCTAGTGCTGATCAAGACACCCAGATTCTCCTCTTCACTTTTGCCCCCCATTGAAAAAGTCAGATAACGACAGAAACACCTGAAAGCTTTGCTAAGCACACACCCTGGCTTGTAACAGACTTCCCTCCTTTCTCCAGTTCAACTGGTCTGCCACAGTACTGGCATCACTTCTGGAGTACACAGATTGGATACACACATGCAGGTTGAGATTTTTTTATCTCCCTGCTGTTATTAGCACCACTGAGAGCTGCAATCCTGCCCAGGCATTGGCAGAAATAAGCTTCCCCTAGGCTGCATCTCATTTTTTGCTATTTGCTTCTAATTTCCACAAAGTTTGTTTGTTTTTTTCAATTTCCTTACCACGAGCTGCTCTGCCAAACCTGACCCAACATGGTGACAGGGCACAGATTTTTATCACTGGCTGTGCTGCCCCAGCACACAGTGGGCACCAGTGGTATTCAGGCAAATCATTCAAGTCTAATCACCATTCCCCTCAGAGAAAAGCTCTCCTCCCTGTGCATCAGGTTTCCTACAAACAGTAAAAAGGGAGGAAGAAATGAAATGGCATTAAGGTGGGAAGTTACTTCACTCTGGCACCTCTCAGCTACAAACTCCACCTTCTCTGTCAAATAGAACAGGGAGGTTTTGGCATCAAGTCAACGTGCAGTCTCAAAATCAAGCAGAGGCCAAAAAACAATTGAAAGGGTCATCCTGAAAGTTTTTTTATATCAATCCCTCCTTCCTAGCAGCTTCCTACTCTAACACACAACTACATATTCAACTAATGGAACTTCTCAATGCCAAGGGCTGAGTACAGCTCCCTCACTCATTAATACCACTGAGAGTCATTTGAAGGTACTCACAGATGAGCTCTGCCTCTCAATTCTGAGCAGCAATCAAGCAAGCCCCAAGAATTAAAAGCTTCATGACAAAGGGCTCTCTTTTGCTGTTGTTTGTTGTTGTTAAATTAAGCCAACTCAATTAGCCCCTCATATTGCAGTCTTCTTATGTTGATCCTTCTTTGGTCTGTCAACCAGGCTCACCCAGAACTTAAAACTGTTTTCAACTAATATTTCACTGTGCTACTTCAGCTACAAACAAGTAATTAATGCTAATGAGTTTTCCTTTTTTTGCAGCAGCAGCCGCCACCATTAATACCAGTTGACTGAGTTTCACTGAAGCATAGAAAAGGCTCATGACTGGAAGAATGATAAATGATTTATGAGCAGCAGTATTTACTAGTGCATATTTTTGAGTAAGGCAGTTCCACAGGCTTTCCTTGTAGGTCTTCCCCAAGAGAGTAAAAAAGAAAATGGTAAAAATCAACACTAGATGTGGGGGAGGAAGTCTGGAATATTTAATCAAGGTCCTTGCATTCCATTTGTTGCTGTTTACATTTTACATATTCAAGACACCCAGCTCTGCCAAGTCAACACTCAGCTCTTCCTCCCACAATGGTGTGCTGTATAAATTCAAATATTGAAAAAGTTATTGTTGTATTTGAGATGTAGTTCCATAATGTTTATAGGCAAAGGGTGGAATTTATTTGTTAGCCTAAACTGAGTTTTAAACACTCTTACAGAATCAGCCCTTCTTCTCTTCCCAATCTCTACCTGGGACATCCAATTTCCAGATCTGCCCAGTTGATGTTACTTCTTGAGGAAGGCAGCAAGACAAAACAGGAATCTACACCAGTGGAGAGGGGCAGAGTCATTACAAGTAACAGCAAAAGGGAAAAGGAAACAGTTCCACTTACTCTGAAAAATCAGTTTTACAAGCACTCAGATCCACAGCTCTTACCTTGCTTACGAACATCTTCCACGGCTGCTATCAGCTCCTCTTTCAGATACTGGCTCTCTTTTGCAATTTTGTCTCCTTTATCCAGGAAATTCTCTGTTGCTTGTTCAACTGAAGCAGCCAGAACATGGGCCTTTTTGGAACGCCCTCGCTTTTTGTTAGAGGGACCCTTGTTGCTAGTGTTAACCAGTGTTGTTACCTGAAGGCGTAGGATGAAGGGAAGAAACAAAAACCACAAAACAAATTAGAAGTTTATCCATTTGACAGCAAGGCCACATGTATTTTTTCTAGACAGCAGATCACTAATACCTGCACTTTTGCCAGCTCCAGAGGTTAAACTCACAAACAAGTGTCTCTCACATCTCTTTAAACATTACCATGCTACTTGATTCCTTAGATGAGCATTATAAATTCAGCTAAACCATTTATAGAGATTTTTTTCTTAGCAGCAGCAGAAAATTTGATTTTAAGAATCGAGATCTATTTGTATTTTTGATAAAGTGCAATCTCAGTAACAGGCGAGAGCTGCTTGGCATCACTTCAAAAGAAGCCACATTGGAGATAATTAGGTTGGGATAGCTCCCCAAGCATAAAAGACCCCAAAACAAGGTTGAAGCCATTCTCTGCAGAAATCTAGCAAGTCCAAATACCTTTTCAGTCCCAAGCAATACTACAGCCAGTGGACTACATGCAGAGCAAAGGACTTCCAGAGCTCATTATTTTGCTAAAACAACCAAAAATGCACTCCTGAAATCAACAAATATTTCCAAGTTGTATGTTTTAGACTGAAACCCTGCTAGGAGGTGGCCACCAGCTGCCAGATGACCACCAAGTACTGTGTTAGCTCAGGATCAGAATCCTTCAAACACAGATGACACAAAATCCCCACAAGCTCTTCCATCTGCAGTTTTTTTCCCCTCTCCTTTTTGTGAAGCCTAGGAGAAGGTATGCCAAGCTACTTCAGAGGGACATTAAATTACAACACTAAAAATATTACTGCTCTGGAAAGCCCAAGGACTTCTGACATAAAGGTCCTCAGAGATGAATTCGTCTTCTCAGTATGTTGAATCAGAGAAGGAAAGGCATCAGCTAGGAATATTGTTGTTAGTTAACGGGGAGCATTTTTATTGGGAAGTCTCAGCTCACCATGTACTGCAAATAAACAACAAGTTGCAACAAGGTAATTTACTCTACTTTCTTCTCTATATTTTGCCAACCACAATATTCACAAAATTTGGGATAGCCAGTACAGCCTATTGTGCTACTTGAGAAGTACGTTACAGACACTGAACTTGGACAAAAAGCTCCCATAAACAAGTTTGCTTAGTCAAGTTTGACAAATTAGGACAATTTCTCTTGAGGAAAGACTCCATCGGTAGTAACTGCAGGTAAAATTCTATATAGTACATCATCCAACTGCCCATCTCAGTATCTGGAAGGCATCTGTCTCTGGCAGGTACAGACAACAGCTCGGCAATTAACGGGATGTTAATACTGGAAACAGAACTTGATTGTTGCAGTTTGTGTTTAGCAGGAGTTGTGTCCAGTTCACACTGTCATTATAACAATTTTGTATTTCAAGGAAATAAAATGAGTTAACTGTCTTCAGAGCACATTCTCTTCCAGACCTCCTAGAAATTCTCTTCCCAAAATCTTCAAATTGCTCAGTTTGCAGAGCTTATGTTTACAAAACTCATTCTAGTTTTCCTACTATCTTCAGTGCATTTCACTGGGCAATACACAACATGCAGAAATAGGCTTTTATACACAAATCTAGCGTAAAGCATAGGCAGAAATCAGAAGAAAGCATGGATATCTTGCAAGAGATCTACTAAAACACTGACAAATGTCATTAAAGCATACTTCTTGCAGGAAACTCAGTCTGGAGGGATCAGTAATTATTTACAACATAAGGCAGATCTAGACGCTTTGCAAACAACCATCATCACACATTTCACTATATCCCTGGAACTTCCTTCCAAAGGGAACTCTAAACACAGGTAATCTCAAAGAAAACGTTTCAGACCCTACTTCTGGCAAGCACTAATCACTTAACTGCAAGGGACTTTTGTTGCTCCCAGATACCAGGTTCTAAATTATATATAGCGCAGCTTTTTAAAAACCCATCAAATAAGCAGCATACATCCCCAAACACAGGTGAGAAACAGCACAGCAGCAATGGAACATCAGTCCCTAACAGGCATTTCTGCACTTGTAATTGAAATTCTGTGTCTCATCAGGTGCTGAAGCAGCACAGTCTTTCCAGACTTGTGTCCAGTAACTGTTAGTGGTTTTACTTCTGAAATTTAAGCTTTGGAAGTTACTTAATTGAAATAATACATTAAAACAGGTAATTGTCTCGTCTTTTGTTCCCTTTTTTTCCCTACCTGTGTCACAAGAGGCTCCAGTAGTCTTTCGACTGCCAGTGTTCTTATCTCCAAGCTTTTGGGGTCCCATTTGAAGTTAACGTTGCCTGCAGTAACAGCAGTCATTTCTAGAAGAAGAAACAAAGCTACATTAATACTTTATTTTCTTTATGTTGGAATATATTTTTAAATTAAATTAAAACAGAGGTTATTAAACATGCAACACAGAGATTCTTTGTGAGTTAGGGTTATACTGTCTCTGGAAACATCTGTTCTGGTTCAGCTGGTGGTAGTTTAAAAAAATACCTGTTATGACAATATACAGATATTACCTGTATGTTTTGGTTGAAAAAAATCAAAACAAATAACCAAAATCTACCCAAACAGCTCAATATTTTATTAGAGCAATTACAAGACAGAGAACGTTTGTTTCACTGATCAGTGATGCCCAGCAGTGAAGAAGGACCTCACAGGGGATAGGGTCACTTCACTCCTGAAGCTGGAGGCTGAGCAAATAATCTCTTCTTGATTTCTGCTGTCCTGAGCTCCCATACTGGCTGAGACACAGCCCAAGGTCCTGGGGGAGCAGAAGGGAACATCTTGACTTCAACAGCACCAAAAAGCTGCCAGCTTTCTCAACTCCACCACGAGTCACTACCCCAAATGCTTTGTCAAACCACGAGCCAGGTTTTAACTTCAGTCCATTCAACCTACTCGTTCATCCAATTCACCTTTTGGAAGTACAAAGGTAAAATAGTGAATGTACGTCTTATAAAGCCAGAAAATCCAGTTGGTGCAGATTTAACAGCTTATGTCTCTTACGCTTACCCTTAACATTTACATAGGAGGGAAAAGCAGCTTTGCATTAAGAGATCTGTTAAAAGCTGTCACTGAGCCTTTCCTCCCCAGTTTTATACTGACATCCCAATGGAACAGCAAATACGATTATGAGAAAAGTTTACTGAAACTACTAGAAAAACTCAGCTTTCGAAACCACTAGTACAAAAAAAACACCAGGAAAACCCCCCCAAAAACCCAAAGCAAACTACAAGAGATCACTAGTTTAATACTTGGATGCTGCACAACAAAGGAATAACCAGAATCATCACTTTAGTAAAAAAATGAAGTCTTTACAATTCCATAAAATCACTTCATACCACTTCAGACTTAAGAGACTACAGCTCTTCCTGCTGTGGGTTGCCCTCAAAATTCAAGATTATACTAATCTCCCATTTATCACTTTTTAACAGATATAAAGTCAGGAAGAGAAACACATTTCCAAACTCTCCTTCTACCTCTTTTCGTAAGCACCTACTACTGAAGTTGTTTTAAAAGCTTATTAGCCAATATTTTTAATCTTACTGTGGACAGGGCACTGTCTGCACAGCATCTCAGCAGACAGGTTGCCCTGACAGCACCAGATGTCCCTGAACTGCCAGTCGAGCACAATGTCCCATTATTTTTAAGAAGCAGGAGGCGACGCACTAATTTTGGTAACCAACGATGTTTAAAAGACATACCAACAACTAACCATTTTATACTGCCACTGACAGTTAAACATACAGATGTGGTTGCTTGCTTCCCATTGAAGAATAAAATCTCCTGGGCACTCAAGCCTGAGAGGGCGTGAGGCAGTCAGGGCTGTGCATTGCCTGGCCTCAGCCCACAGCACCTTCCTGACAGGCTGCTCCCCAGACATCACACCTCAGCTTTCTCACACCCGGACATGATACAATGGATTAACTACTCACTACACTCCTGAAAACACATCTTTGCTTGAAAAGCCTACATGCTGTCATATCCTGAAGTACAACTCTGCAAGGTGCAAAGCAGGAATATGTACCTACCCTGCATTTAGCTTTCCACTTACACCCACACTCCAAGTGCCCACACCGCTGGAGAGGAAGAAAACTTTAAAAGCTTAAAAAAACAAAAATTAATAGGGAGAGACTGATGCGTGCTAGTATATTATCACCTTTCTGATGGTTTTAAATCAAAAAAACTTCAAGGTGCAGCTGAAGGGTCCCAGCTCCTGCAGCAGGAGACATGCCAGGGAGCTGCTCCAGAGTTCCATGATGAGCTGACAGCAGGAGGGTGGAGGATGGCCACCAGCATCTCCTCTTCCTCGCCTGACACTTCTCTCTGAGCCCTATGAATTCACTAGCACCTTCTCTCCCAACCACCCCTCTATTTTTTTGTTCTTTGCTGGTTCAGCTTTCCACTGGCTTATGCCACAGCCCAAACACTGGCACAGGGCAAGCTGTGCAATGCCCCTCAACCCCCGGTGACATCCTACCCTCAACAAGGAACTTGACTACTTTATTCCCTCCTGATTAGCTCAGCATGAATGCTTCCTACATAAGAAGCCAAGAAAAATATGCTGAAAGCCTTTATGGTTTCTGAGAAACATATCCAGAGCTCTGGAAAGCCCATTAGGTTTCTAGGTAAAAGCTGTTTCTATATACTTAATGCCGTTATGCCTCTCAGAGAAACAAAGTGCAAGATGAGGTAACCATGAGAAGATACATTAATTGTACTAGAAGGAAAATAAAGGCAATTCATCTGAAAACACGTTAGTATGATACCTCACAAATTGGCCAAAAAACTACTTAGTATGAACTTAAATTGAAATTTATCTACAAAGCATAAGCTGATATCAAATACACAGTTTGGCAGCAATGACTTGGATATCTTTTGTACATTGTAGCAAATATGTGAGTGAGGGGATGGGGGGGTCAAAGAACAACTGGCAGGGCCATGTGAAGGCAGGACTGCACTTCTGCCAGGAGAAAGCTCTAATTCTCTGGAACCTGTCTTGTGACTGCTTAAGGTTTTGCTTCATTAAATTCAAACATGGTAAGGGCAGTAAACCAAGTCAGAGGACTTTGTAGCAGAGTACTTAATTGTTGGCTTTTTGGAGAGCACACAAGAATTCCCACGATGCCTGCAATAACACCTCAAAGACAAAGGACATCCTCTGCAAGATGAACCCAACCGCAGGCTAGTGCAGCACTGGCTTCAGAGAGCTGGGACAAGCCAGCTGACATGGAAACAGGCTCTCCAGGCCACAGAGCAGCACCCTGAGAAGGAGTCTGAAGGACAAAGCAGCATAGACCACACAGCAGAAAAGAGCGAACGATGCCGAGTCTGAAGTGCTGGAACCTATAGAAAGACACCATCGCACAAGAAGTTGTGGTTGCCCAGTCTGGTTTCATAAGCAGCATGAAAGCTGCTTAAAAACCAACATTCATCCTCCCACACCCCTGGAGGAACTCATGCCCATCTTCACATCACATACTCTCAGTACTGGCACAGCTTTCCCCACGGCTGAGTGATTGACCAGATGGGGAAGAACTGATTTGGCTGGAGGGAAAGAAATCCATATATGCAGGGTGGGCCGAGATCCTCATCTGGCTTCCCGTGCCACCACAGATACCACAGCCAGCAGAACCAGTGAGAGGAGATGGGTATGTCAGCTGGCATTGCTGGCAAAGCCCTTCAAGTGGAAACACAGGGCAAAGTTGGATGCCACAACCAAGCTGAATGATGTGCCACTGGAAACAGAGCATCAAGCAGAGCAGCTGCAGAGCAGGAGCACCCTCCCAGCACATCTAATGCTCACACACATGAAGCCTCATCCTTAAACCTTGCTCACAGCCCAGCATGTTAACTGTAAACCCTTCAGGTTATTACACTGGTCATAATGGTGGTCAGTATTGTTATAGATGGCTCAAGAGCAAAGCAATGATGTCTTACTGGGGATTAGTGTACTTGCAAGGACATGAGGGTGGGGAAAGAACAGGAGTTTCAAAGAAGCTACTTCCTGACTTCCCTGTTGCCTCCAGAAGTCTCTACATTTCCAGCCAAGAGGCAGCTCTGCAAGCAGAGCCATCCCAGGCCATCTTGTTCCTTTCTTCCCTCAAGAATCAAGATCTTTCAATGGCTAAAGCTTAAGAAAAGGTTCCCTTTACTCTTCTTCAAGCAAACCCTGCCACAGTCCTCCACTCCTTTTCCTGCCTCAGTGGGGCACCCACACTGGCACACACCTGATGCACTGAGCCACATCAAGGAGCTAAAATGGTCTCAGAGTAAGATAGTAGCTATAAAAATTACCCTACCTTAATGTCCCAAAGGACGAGGTGGGACTGCACAGCAAAGAGGACTAGACTGCAGCAGCAACTAAATGAGCTCTGCCCAACGTGCAGCCCAGGGCAGGTCCCAGCCCAGCTGGGGAGAGCTGAGGGCACAGCCCTGAGCAGAAGGAAGCATTAAACTGCTGGGGCTGCACTTGCACACCAGTGCATGAGCTGGTCTGCCGTGAATGCACAGAGGGTGATGTGTGTAAAGCGCTCTTTCCAAAAGCCACAACTAAAGGCTGTGGCATTTTAAAAAACTGGTAATTCAAGCTTTTTAAGAATAACTTCAGGTACCTACTTCCAGAATTTTGGCATGCAGATAATTTCTAGACTTTGGCAAGCATAGGAATGTAGCTCTGCAGCTCCCTTGCAAAAGTGTCCTGAAGGCACCCCAGGCTTTTTCAAAAGCCCACAAAAAAGCACTATTTAACAGTGAGCTCTGCACACCAACAGAATCACGGAAGGGCTCAGTGCCCATGGTCCTGTTTTTCCAGGTTGCACCCCCACGCTCACCCAAGGCTGCTGGCTGTATCTCAGGCTACCAAGTTTGTACATTCAACCTGCTCTATAGCAGGAGATCCTGCAGCCTCCCGACCTCTGGACCAGAGCAAATCTCTTTTGGTTACACAGCAGAAAATCTAACCACCCATCTCTGGTGCTCCAATGTGAGTCCCACTACCTTATGCTACCTCTTTTACATTTCATCTTATACCAGTCCTCAAATTTTAACTATCCTGACAAGCTGCTTTCTAAAAGCTTTTAACTTCACTCAGCAGGTTTTATTTTCTGTTAGGGAAGGTGATACTCAAACAATGGTCTCACTAGCATAGTGGGAGTCTTACCCAGGCCAAGCACAATAGACCACATGCTGAATACAAGCACTATGCCAAAAAACCTAACAAAAGAGCACAAGACAAGGACATAGGAGAACATCCCCATTTTAACACCCTTTCTGCTACCCACCTAGGTGCTCCCCATTTTGTGCAGCTCACTGAGCCCA